ATACTCCGAGTTTGGCATATGATTGGAAATAACCTCATCAAAGAGCTCGGATATAGAGTATGTATACAATATTTTTGGGATAAGCCGGTGAGTTTTCTTGATTCGTTAGCTTGTATATGCTCTGGTGACGGACCAAAGCTTAGCACGTTTTCACCGGAATCGAAAGAGATTACCTCGGAAACAGCGTCAGTAAGAATGCTCCAGCAAAGCCAATCGATAGGTGGTCAAGAGAAATCAGCCGTTGTTTTATAGCGGAATCGACCTTCGAATCTCTTCACCAAACACCCTTTACTCGAAATGAAAGTAAGCTCAACAATTATAAAACCATTTTGCTAATAACACCTTAATTTAATAACTGAGATAACCTAGTTTAGGGATGGATTTTTTCCGTCCCCCATGGGATGAATAGGCCTCATGATGCCACTTACTTCTAGTTAGCCTTGCCTTCAAGAGCTTATCTTATCCAGAATAGACTACATTTTCGACCTCGCCTAGGTCTCACCAAAACCCCAACAAGATGCTATACAGGTTCGCCACCTGTGAGCCACATGGCAGATATTACATTCAAGACAAGCCGGATCTCGTCCAAATCACAATTGTATGGTGGAATTGTCTATTAGATTCCTATTAAGGAATTACTGACAGTCCCAAAGGCTAGTCAAATCGAAAATAAGTAATTTCGTCGATTGCAAGGGCAAATACAATTCCACAGCAAAGATGTGATTTTGTAGAGGACTGAATAATCTTGAATGTCACATCTGCCTTGTGACCCACCTGCATCCGTGGCTGTGGAGTGGAGTGGTAAAGTCACCTATATTTACAAATCACAATCGAATCCTCTTTTGGATGCTGGAGAGACTTATGCGCGATTGAAATTTCACTCCATCCTGCCTAAATAAAATTAAATGACATTATGGAACAACTCAAATATCAATCCTTAAGCAACCTCAAGATTTCTAGGGTGACTAAGTTCTTATTCACAAATTACTTATATTCTCGAAATCTACTCACATCAAGAATGACTTTTATTCGATTTTAAAGAGTGTAGTGATATTATTCGTAGCTCTACCTCACAGAATTTCCTCGCCCGGCTGTGTATTGACCATTCTGGGACGTTATCACTGACTTAGTCGTCAAGACAACTGACAGCAATAACTGGTAATAAAATGATGCCCGGCTCTGAGGATGCAAACGAAGACACACGTCTTGGCATTGGAACGAAAGAAGCCATATGGAGGACTTCGCCAGTCTAAACGCGGAGTCTTCTGATGCACACTTTTTTAGCACATCTTCATTTGGAGTAGAAATGTGTGATGAAGGGATTCAAGGGTTGATCTCTCCAGAAGACAAAAGGGGATTTTTTTGTCAAGCTGCCGTTTGGCTTTACTTGATACCACAAGTTGGCTCCATCTTTGAAAAAATCTCCTTTAATTCCGTTGAAGACGTGCTGAACTTTCTTTTGTCTTATCATAGACATACTTAAAGCAATATATCGTTCCTACAGCTAATTTAAACTAACAAGTTAAGAAAGCTCCTATCCGCTATACACATACTACCTATTTCGTATGTAAGGATAGGCCAGTGAGCTTTCTTCGCCGGTTCGTTTGAAGGGGCTGAATGGTTGCTACTCTGCTGTGAAGATGTCTGTCATAAGATGGAGGAAATCTTAGCACGGGCTAACCAGGGTCAAAGGCGAGGATAGCGTCTACAAGAACGTCCAGGTGAAGCACAAAGTCAATGGGCTAAGAGGAATGTGACATCGTTTTTCGGTAGGATCGACCCTTCTCCACAAACTTGCACTGAAAATGGCAGTGAGCTCAGCAAATGATAGAAGTGGTCTGATCTCGCTTTCGCAACTTGTTCGTGCTATCATGGAAAACTAATTGGGTTCACCTTGTCCGACGTTCTCTGCTATAGTAGGTGCCATTATTCCCAGCGTTGGACCGTGAACTTAGTACATCCCCAGATGTTCCGCCGGCATCGTAGTTGGCATCGTCAGTAAATCTTGTCGTTTTCAGCACCAAGCTACAACTCATCAAAATAGACAAGTGAAGTCAATCCCTTAACCATGATAACTATTACAGTAAAGGAAGTCAGACAAGGTGCATCTAACTAGGTCTCCATCACAATACGAGGAAGTTGCGAAAACGAGGTCATACTACTCATATACGTCAAAAGTAGACGGCGACCGAAATAACGGCCACAACATCTTAGTCTTCATATCCACAGCAAAGGATAGTTATCCTATTATATGATACTTGAAAATAAGACTTGAATGCATAAGTGGATTTCATTCCGCTTTTCAAATCAAAATGTTGCCTCCATTCCTGACAGATTGTAGTCTCGACCATACTTAAATCTCTTGCCACAAACCCCAACAGGCTTTAAACTTAAGACATGTGTATCTACAGAAGAGTTAGCTCCGAATGTATCATCTTATTATTAGCCTAATAAACCGCCTTAGTAACAAGCATTCACTGTGTTACTCGATCCCCTATTCCCATTCAGGGTACTTGTGGGACTCAGGCGAGGTAAAATCTTTAGGTCTTCCTGAATAAGAACGCCTTTTAAGAAATAGGGGCTAATAAACTCAGCGTCAGCATGAAGCCTATGCACATTTTGTGATAAAATTTACTTATCCATCCCAATCACCTTATGTGATTTCGCGTAAACAGGGCTCCTATTTCTTGTTAGTCTGTCTCAGGCAAAGTGCATAACCAGAGCCAAGTCGTGGGTATGCCAGTAGACTAAGAGATATACACACAGACGCACACAGGCGCACAGGCACACAGCAAACATATCTTAGATAGATATAAAACGTAAAGGTTTTCCTTGAGCACATGATATGCCTATCAAACCTAGAACGAAATTCATAACCTTTTCTTGACCGATAAATCAGCTAAGGATATTTTGGTTGCCGACAGCGAAAAGAGTGAGGCCTAACTCAGCGAAGCATTTGGCCCCATCTAGTCATAAGAGCAGCTAATAATAATAGTGCTATTGCTACTACTAATATCAATATATCTAACAAATTGTGTCCAAAGGTGTAACTAGTATCACTAATCCTCTTTAATGTATTGTATTCTCTTAGCAGCCAAGATATCTTAGCTCAAAGGTTCGAGCCATGATAGTCAATACTTCTGATTTCTTCGATAATCTGTCCGGTGACCGGATGTATTCTCAAATGTTTTGCCTGCATCACAATCAGCATCGTCAGTAAGTAGCGCCACCCTTATGACCCAGCCACAATTGATGAGAACAATTACAGAGGAGGTAGTACGTAAAGTGATTAAACAAAAGGCCATTTTGGCATGATTTTAATATCAAGAGCTTCTGGTTTCAAATATGTCTCCAAACTTACCATCCCAATTGTTGAGCTTACTTCCATTTCGAGTGAAAGTGTTTGATGAAGAGATTCGAAGGTCGGTTCCACTAGAAGGCGACGGCGGATTCCTTTTGACCAGCTGTTGATTGGCTTTACTGGAAGATTCATGCTTACGCTGTTTCCGAAGTAATCCCCTTCGATTCCGGTGGAAAGATGCTAAGCTTTCGTCCGTCATATGACGAACATTATCAGAGCAAGGTATCACCGTCACAACTAAATTCAAGCTAACGAGTCAAGAAGGAAAAAAAACAGTCAGTTACGGTCATATGTCAACTTCGAAGCCTGTGGTTCAAAGTAATTAGGACTGCCATC